GGGAGTTGGCGGAAGTTGTTCACTCAACTTGATCGGCTGATACCCGGAGGCGGATATAGCAGGAGTTGCAGCCGCGTAGCCGTACAACCACCCGCGGATCGTATCCCTTCGTATCCCCACTCTCAGCGATTTACTGCGGTTGACCGAAACTAATAGACGCTGACTGTGTAATCTGTTTGAAGCGGCTGTTCGCCGAGGAACAGAGGATATCCTCAACCAACTGCCGAGGCTTAGACTTGTAGTGGTCCTCTCGGTAATAGTTATGCGACCAGCGCTATTCAACGGTTCCGACAACATTCGAGCAACTGTATCGCTTCAGCTAATTATTCTGGAGAAGTCGTACACTAGGGATGGACAGGTGTCTATGATACAGAAAGGTTGAGGGGCGAAATAATGATATCGTGCAGTTGGAGAAATTGTACAATCTTGAAGTATTGTTGAGGGTTCCGGATCGGGAACGAAGATTAGCAGGATTCAATTGCAACTTCGGCTTGCCACGCGTTCTCGAAGACGTTGACGAGAGACAGAAGGACGATTTGTTCGAACTTGACTCCGCCAGGACCGATTCGCCATTGGATGTCTCTGGTCGCTTCGTACTGGACCTTCTGTGGGGCGAGAATATCCGTCGGCTCGAGGCAAAGAGGATGAATGATGTGCAATATTTACCTCGAGATACCGAGCAAAATGTTGAGAGATGATGCCGGCAAGTTGAGCTCTTGTCATGGGTCCCTGTGGCGTAGCGACTTCAATGGTTCGGGTCCACTCGACATGTTCGTACCCTGGCCACTACAGATTGACAGTCAAGACAATGGTTTGGAGGAGACTCAGAACCCCCCGTCTACATTACACGCACTCGGATATGAAAGACAATTCTCCTCGTCGCAGCCAAAGACATGACTTGATCATTAGCACCTTCCATCATTTGATTCAATGCATGAGGAACACGAGCACATAGTTCTCTTAAAGGCATTCCAATTCCTCGTTGTCCAATCCAGTTGAAGTAAATTGCGTTGCGGAGGGGTGAGACGCGTCCGGTTTCGTGATGCCACTTCGCTGTTGGGACATAGTTTGTTTGAGGAACGCGTTTGCGGGGTAGCATTGCATTCGAGTTCTTAAATCCAGATGTTGAAGAGATTGAATGATAACTGCTTGGAACGGCGCCGCTCAAGGAGGAGTAGGACGATCGTTGACACGGTTGGAGAGTTGCGTGAAGAGGGTTTTGGTAGCTCATACTTGGGGTTGGGTGATGTCCGGGGGGAGGGGAACTCGATCGAGAGTAGATAGAGAGACTTGTGTGGGGTATGGGAAGGTTTCTACTCCACGCTACGAGTTTTATACCACCAGACGAGCTCAGACCATGCCAAAGCTGATATGTGGCCACGGAGGCCGGAGTTCGAGGTTATTGTACCGGGCAAAGTTCTCTTGCCCTACTTCCTGAAAATGGCGACAAAATTGCATTGTTTGACTCTGAAATACATTTCTTGTACATCCTCTTCCCTGATTGATACATGGAGGTAAGTCGAGAGAATGTGGCGCGGGCCATATCGTACCTACAACTCAACACCAACTTACCATTCATACTCATTCTAAACGACTCAACGGAGGCAAAATACTAGCATAGGATTGATACTACATTCACAAATCACGAGCTTCATGAGCTTTGACGCGTTTCTTTCTCGCGTAGGAAGGTGTTGGATCGATCGGAGTGGATCCAGCTTGAACTACATACCCCACGTGACCGCGTGTTGCGAAAATTGGGAAGTACGCACTGCCAAAGCTGTTGAGAGAGTTCGAAGTGGCAATACCTCGGTCAGGACCATTGTCTATGAGTCATCGTCGGCGGCCTAACTCTCCTGAACAAGTGCAGACTGTGGGTGTACGTATACTCGACGGGACACAATGGTAAAGTAAGAATCGATCCCGACAAATGAGGAAGATAACGTATCACGAACGTAAGTAAGTACAATTCATCATCATCAACACCAAAGTAACAATAACCATCATCCAAGAGCCACAAGCAGCACCAGTACCAATTACGCTCTCAGTTCCGTAGTACTGGGAACGGGAATGGGCTGTTGTCCAGGCGCAGTTGGTTGCTCAGCAGGCTGCGCCGGCGCGGATTTCTCTTCCTGGTACCCCGTCTGCATCTGAGTAGGCATTTGCATCTGCATCTGCATAGGCTGAGGCATATCCCCATCAAACTGAGCAACATTTACTTGCGCTATCTGAGCTCCCCGTTTCGTCGTCCGGAGGTAGATATAGAGCGACACTGATCCCACTGGAGGGGGAAACAAAGTCTGGGTGAGTACAGAATAGTGACAAGGAGACGCTCGGGATTGAATATTTCACTCACGGAGGATCGACAAGCTCAAACATAGACACCCCAGAGACAGGTTGAAAGGGCACGTTTCAAAGAGGTTCAACCTATTGGAACAAGTGCCGCTTGCACCGACGAAGGCGAAAACCATGATCGAGATGACTAGAGCGGGTCGTCCTGGTGAGTGAAGGAATACAGGAAACGCTACTAGATACGACACGTACCAAACCACACGATGCTAAGAACCATCGTCGATATACAATGGGCAGATGCGCGCGTGACCGTTTGCGTAGAGTAGAAGCGGCGGTTATACGAGAGCCTTTTTAGAACCAGTATCAATGACGAACGAGGGTGTAAATGAGTCACGTACAACACACTCGCCCATATCCAAGTGAAAAGAGAACACAGGGATGCTATTCCCGCGAATGCCACTGTACGATAAAGATGAACACATGTCAGCTATCATTCGAACGTTTCAGAGCTGAGCGGAGGTAGACTCACTTCCGGCCTGTTTGACGGTCGTCGTCCTCCCAAGCCCTGCAAATATAAGCGCAAAAGGACCGATGACGTCCACCGTTATGCCAAATACGAGGATCAAGGCTACGCGAATAAGGATCAGGAAGGGAAAGTACTGGTTTAGCCCGTTGTAGGTTGCGTAAGTAGAGTGAACAGACTTACAATAAATCGCAGTACGAACTGCAGCTGGGCGAGGCATTGGATCCGAGGGCTCTGGTCTGATAGGGATAGCGTTGTAATGAAGAAGGGGGAGATTGGTTGTGTAAGGTAGACCGGGTGTTCCTGGGACGAAGCCAGGAGCCCCAGGAGCGTAGGGAACAACAGAAGTTCCGGAAATGAAGGGAACGGTAGGAGCTCCAGGCGTGAATGTTGCGGCAGGCACTTGAACAAACGGAGAATTGGGGGCTCCATGGACGTAGGTAGCCACTGGTACGCTGGCGATGTAGGGAGTAGTCATTTGTGCCTGAGCCATTCCTACGTTGTCGGGTGCAGTAAGTTTCCCGTTGAGCCCTCCGGTGCGACGGGTAGACAGCCCAATGACGAGGGCCACCGCTCCAGCTGTCCGGTTGGAGATCAAGTTCAGGTTCGAGATAAGAATCAGTGGGCAAGAGACGCACACAAAATCGAGATTGTCAACGACAGAACACCCGCTGCAGCAGTCATCCCGCACCAAGCTGCTATAAGATCCACCACGAAACCCAAGTTCGATGTGTAGGGAACTGCACAAGAATAGCTCGTTTCGGTGAGGAGCATGATACCAACCGCTGTGAGGGAGTTTTCATTGCGCGTACTTGGAAGATGAGGTCAAGCTTACCGAGCCAGAGCACAGAGAAGACGATCTAAGAAATAAAATGGGGTAGTGCAAAGGAAAGGCTGTTGTTCGAACGGAGCTGATTACTGTACGAAAGTCTGGATAGCGGAAATTAGGTTATTACAAGACGCTAAAAGCAAAGCATACTAACAAAACGCTCGTCCATATCCAGGTTGCTAGGCCTAGAATGGCTGCGACGATGGCGAACCGATCTATAGAGAGAAATCAGTCTTGATCGCTCCAGTACTGAGATTCGGAGGTATCTGTACCAGTTAAATGTCTCGTTGCCAACACCAACGCCCTCCGAGTACGCCCAGTGCTCGAGCTAGTATACCTATACCAAGTAATTGCGTCGTCCACATCGAATTTGACTTGAACCGCAAGAGCAATTGCCAGGGCGTTCACACATATAGCAAATGCGAGGATGAGACCTGGGAATTAAGGTTATGATAAGTGAATGTAGGATTTGAATCCAGTGCATAGGGCGCCGTACCGTACAAGCTTGTGCGGGCTGCGTGTACTCCCATAGCAGAATGATAGAGGGGACAAGAGAAGCGACTGTAAGTCCCAGCTAGCGCGTTTTCATCGATCATATGAGCGGCGCGCCCCAGGGTTCGCTGCTTGACACGACTGTCATCAAAATGGGTAGACCCGTCCCTGGAATCGCCTCCGCAGCGGCAGGCGTCAATTTCGTACATTCCAATTTCCCCCTTCGTTTTCGTCTTCAAGTAAGGTATTCCAGGAATTCAGACTGTCTCTTGAAGCAAATTTCTCGAAACTGACTGTGGAAACCCCGGAATTGACGACGCGCCGAAAGCCTAAAGCTGAGAGGCTTACCAGCTCATATCCCTCCGTATGAAGATGTAACACAAGGACTGTCGGAAGCTTGTTGAGGTAGAAAGGTCTCAGGGTTCCTTCATTCGGTTTTGACAGAATTTGCTTGGAATGCTACCACGGGGGTCCAAATTGTATTGTTTGGGCGTTCTATCTTGATTGTTTCTTGGAGTAGAAAGATAGACCAATACGAAAAAGGGAAGATGCATCGAGGAGCGGTAGCAGATGAGGAAGGGCTGGAACCCGCACTCGACGGCTTGACTGCGTTGTGAATGACCAGGGTGGTTGATAGCAGGAGTGCAGCCTGAGAACTTACTAAATCAAGGCATCCGGTCCGATTTTGTGAGGCCGATCCGGCCGTCTGGAAGAGCAAAGTGCTCAGATCCCAGGATAACGGGTGCTCAAAGGCTCATACAAGGGAAGCTGAAAGAAACTGGCAAGTCAATGGAAAAAGTATCGCCGTAAATGTGCTGGAGAATTCCTCAACCGGTTCTGATACTGAAAGTTTATGGACATTTATAAGCCGGTTTAGCTTAGTGGTAGAGCGTTGCACTTGTATCATCCGGTTACCAAATGCAAAGGTCGGTTGTTCAATCCAGCCAACCGGCAATAGCTTTTTGAGTACTACTACAAATGGCTCGGTGTGTGATTTTTCGGTGGCTCAAATGTTCGAATCACCCTATAAGTTTGAATATTGTTTCGAAAATTTCAGAGCAACGATTATGTAGGATTATGTCGCGAAATCGTGCCATGGGGCTGGGATCGACAATTAGATGCGATGTTAGTCACAGCCTCCACCGTGGTACCATAGGGGTGCCGTTGAGGAACGAAGATGATTTGTAGACTTGGCCCTTCCTCGTGGAGGACAATGTTCATCCACCTGAGTGTGGCATAAACATTTGATCATCAGAACGCTCGGGTGGCAAGAGTCAAAGGCCAGGTACTTACCATAAATGGGAATCATATTTCCCGATTCAACAATGTCATTCGCCGAGTTTGCTACACCTTTCTTGAGTGAGCTCTTCGTGTCTTTTCTTCGGTTTATCTGAGTCGGGTCTACGCGAGCGAATACTTAGGCCATGCTCATCGTCCCTCCATTTACTCTCCAATGGGCATTGTCCATTGTCCATTCACGGTGGCATATTGATTCACCATTGCCGGGTACAATGGACATTTTCGAAATGCCTTCCTCCGCTTTGCCAATGGTCGGGCCCTGTGGCCTGGGACTTTCATGTTCAAGCTGCTGGCTTAGCAGGTATTTAACGCGTCTGGGGCGCGGGATAGTAGCTTCATCAGCTACTTCTACACAAACTCCCAGTTCCAAACGCCACAGCCTAACCCCACAAAGTTTACTACATACCAAATAGAAAACATGTCCCATTACAACTCCCTTCACTCCAATGTCTCCACCTCTCAAATGTCCTCCTACTCCTCCCTCTCCGGAGCTCTCACCTACAATCAGAATGGTAATGCGAGTCATCCCACCAATCCTCTCACCCGCAAATGCCGTGTTCCGCAAACGCCTTACGTCCCTTCCTCCAAATGGCGCGCACAAACGGGACGTGCTCATCCTCTGAACGGGACGATCTCGTTCGACCTCATCGGTCTTCAGGGCCAAGGAATCCCACTTCGTGAGGTGAGGACGAGGGGTCCTCAAGGACTCCAGCAAGCTATGCAAGGCGCGAATGATATGATTCTGGGACACACTCAGCTTAGGAAGATCGCGTTTCATATTCGAGTAAGTTCCTGCCGACGAGTTTATAGAATAAATTAGAATACTGACCATCTACTCTGACATCTAGTGGCCCGGATACGAGCACAGCGAATGGATTCGCAGTATCGATGTCGCTACGCCACAAGGACCAATCACTCGCGCTCAGCTTGCTATGGTCATCTCGCAGAATTTTGCGAGGTACATCGAGGTGTGTATCATGACATGTCAATGCTTCTTCTCAAGCTCACAGCGACGTTTCCCTATAGAAAAACCAATACGAAGCCACGCGAGAGATCCAATGGCGTCTCGGCCCCGGCGGTGGAATCCAATTCGACCATATCGTGCTGCTTTCTCTCACCAATGTCTTCGAGGACGCATGGCAGGCTGATGTTGCCGTTGAATTCCGTTAAATTCTCCGCTCGTCAGCGAATCGAACGAAAAGGAAGTCTATAAAATCCTTACAAATGTTTCTTCTCTTCCTCCTTCTCCGTTAGTTCATTTAATCATGGTATAACTAGTGGCCTCGTAGTTTCTCATGATGGCGTATATATTATCGTTATGTATATAGTTTCCTATTCTCGGATCTCTCTGCGCCTAGTTTTGTTGAGTAGTATTACGACTCATTCACCAATGTATACCGCATACTAATCATTCAGTATTGGTCAATTCTTATTGAGCTTCATCTAATGCTCACAACACAGGAGTGAACGTCGAATATACAACGAGATCTGGCCAAGCCAACGCTGTCAAAACATGTACTGTGGAGAAAACTCCGAGTCCGAGCACGCCTAGCAGTCCTGGATACAAAGGTGAAGCAACAAATGACTGGCTTCGAACGGGGATAGAACTGGCCGTCACAGTAGCCCATGATCAGGTATCCCTTGACTAGACATCCCACCAGGTCGTCTTGGTGCAGGTGGGAGGTAAGTGGAACTCTCCGTGCCGCATTCGCGGCATGGCTGAGTTACTATTTTGTGCCGTTCGCGCCACGCGGCTGTACAGTAAACATCACTAAGGCAGTTCCGAGCTCTCTCAGTCTGATTTCCCCCTATCATGCGCTGTGGTGGCACCTCAGGTAAGTAGCTGAGAATCAGATCTTGACGGGGGATGTTACAACACATAGCACGAAAGCTGTTGACTCTTCGACTGCAAGTTGCTTCTTTCCCTCTTTCTCTCCGGACAAACGATGGAGGACCGTTCCTCGGACCTTTCCAGTGTTTACTCTTCCATCTCTAGCTCAACTCGGACCACAGTCCCTGGATTGGGCTACCTCTCTGGCCGAGCCATCAAAAGATTGGGAGAAGTCGTTCTGAACGGTTTCAACAACGTCTTAGTCAATAGGCAGCTCGGTCGCATTGAAGCTTCGGTCAAGACCAACAACGCTTGGCACGAAGATACGCCATCTTCAGAGATCGAACAGATGTGCGGAATTCTTCTAGAACTGTCGCCTTGGTATCTTTAGTTAAACTGACATGACCTCACCTTCTCAACGTTGTCTAGACCACTATCATGAAACAGCTAATTCTTGCGCATCGCGGTTCGACATCCTTTACCGCGCTCTATGACACCGAAAGCTTCCTAGAAGTGATGGAAGGCCAGCTGACAGCCTTCCTGAGGGCTGCTATGACTACTAAATTTCACGGAGATGGCCGCGTCCCTCCGTGGGATCGATACCTGAAAATGACTCCGCCAATCTCATTCCCCGGCCAGAGAATTTTTCACAGTCATCGTCAGGCCATACAAGGTACTACCTTGTATGGCCTGGCAGAGGAGTCGAACTAGTTACACAGAAGGTTCCCAACGAGACAGCTTGTACACGGGAGAAACCTCGAAAAGCTAAGAGGATGGCAGTATTAACGAAGGACACGGTAAAAAGAGTCATATGAACGAGAACTTACAGAGGCTGCGAGGGTGGGCTGGTCAAAGCGGAGGAGGATCAAAACGAGATCAACCAGCAATTGATCGCGTCTTGATCATGCACTTGATCATCACTTGATCCCAACTCTGACCCCTACTAATTATATCAGTGCATCCCTTTGTGGAATGTGTACATGAGAATGAACAACCATAACTCAGTGATACAGGATTAGATCCTGGAAGACAATGACTCCAATCAGTTCCCAACTCAGCTAGGCTATAGCTCTGACACGTACTCACCCGGCCCACGACCTTCCAGAGCTTGTAAACTATCATCAACTTTTAGGCTGTTGTGATCATAGTGACGGCACTTCTGCCAGTGCACGTCGAGTCTTGACAAAAACATATACAAAACATGTGGAACTTGTACTCATCATTACCAAAATCGACTCGAAAAACAATAAACTTGGAGCCCGAACACGTCCGACAACGCAGAAGTGGAGATAAAGACGCAGTAAGAGCTTGAGTGGCATACCTGGACTACTATCGAATATGGTGACTTGACGACGGCTTGAACATCACCAAGGCAGTGCCGAGCTTCTTTATTTCCCGTTATGTGGCATCCCCGTTGTCATTGGGCGACGATACTTGGTAGCACGAGAGAAAGTCTTCAAAGGCGATGACACTAATATTTAGGATCTAGCGGTGAGCGCAACAGCTATTTCGAGTTTTTGGAAGAGCATTTCCCCCCTCCTTCCTCAACGAGCGATGGGCGACTCCTCAGAGCTTTTCAGTATCTACTCTTCCATCTCTAGCTCGACCCGAACTACAGTTCCCGGATTGGGTTACCTCTCTGGCAGAGCTATCAAAAGATTGGGAGAAGTTGTTCTGAATGGGGTCGACAACGTCTTGGTCAATAGGCAGCTCGGCCGCATTGAAACTTCAGTCAAGGCCGACAACGCTTGGCACGAAGACACGCCATCTTCAGAGATCAAACAGATGTGCGGAATCCTTCTAGAATTGTCGCAGTACGTACAATTTGAGCTAGTCCGGAGAGCTGCGGACTGAACCCAAGTTTTGCAGCCCTGGGTATCCATTCTCGATTCGAACGCGAGCCTTGCGGATAATCATGACCTTAATTGGCTCGATGACTTTCATCGGGCTTGCTACTACCCTTGTCGACCTGAACTCGACCTCTAAGCTTCATAGGCATTTCTGTGATGTTCTCGATTGCCTCCAGGACTCCAAATCCGAAATGTGCGCCTCTCCTCACCTAACTGTCTCTCTCTGTACCCCGTGCTCATCCAGTCAATTCTACTATAGCGCGTTCAGGCGAAAATCCGGGGATGAAACCACAAGAAAAAGATTATCAGCACTCCGTGCAGCCGGTTATGAATCCTATGTCGCGGCTTTTCCGGGTCAAGCACGTTCCAAACTCCTACTGTTATCGCCCTTCATTCTCTATCTCACCCTTATTGCCGTCCTCGGCGACAGCCACCATACCCGCCTCATTCTATCCGAAGAGCTCAATGTTGTCCGGTTCCTACTATCCCTAGGGCTTTCGGACAAAGATAGAGGGGGTGCCGGCATTACGGCGGGAAGACTCTTCATGGAGGTGCATCGACTCCGACTCGATCATGTTGCCGATGATGGTCTAGTGAGCGTCGTCGAGAACGCTATCTTCGAGCTATCGATGAGCCTTGAGGCTGGTGACTCATTAACAGATTACATGTGGGCCCAATTTGAGCCAGGTACTGCGGCTCCCCCGTCTTATGGATTCTTGATGAATGCGGTGGCGATCGTTCGGCACCAACTCACTAAGAGTGGGACATATTCCTTGTCAGACCCCTCTGGTGACGGTCTCAACCTGCGAAATGTCAAGGTCTTACTCATCGGTGGAGGTTGTGGCGGAAAGGTTAGTACCTTGGGCCTCATTTGTGATCTTTCAATAGACTTATACCTACCCTCTCTTCTCAACATTATCCAGACTACCATCATGAAACAGTTGATCTTTGCACATCACGGTTTGGCATCTTTC